AGCGGGATCTGGTTTGGTTTTTTTCTGCTGTGGCCCACCGGCTCCCCTCCAGCGGACAGCCCTCCCTGGACACCCAGCTGTCCCGCGGAGCTTGGCAGATCACACTCTTGTGTCTTTTGAAGTGTTAGCTGTGGTACATGAGCTGCTTTCCCCGGAGTGGGTTATGGTTTCCGTGAGAAGCGTGTTAGAGGGTTGAAGTCACAGCAGCAGGTGTCGGTAGGAAAGGTGTAATCCATCTGCGGAGGAAGAGTTGGCAAACTGGCTTGACTGGTCAGTGTTCCTGTTCACCACCAGCATTCCTTCAGCGGCTCACTTGTTGTCCAGTAGGCTCAGTGTGGGCTAGCAAAGCCCTTGGGTCCTGAGGAGATCGGGTACAGGTTTGCCGAGAAGTCCATTCTGGTGTAAACTGGCAGTTATAGTTGCTGGACAGACATATAGTATTGTTCTCTAGCACTCTGTGTAATCTATTCTGCTTATTCTCAGGTGTAGAAGTGGTTCTATTCCCTTTTTAGTAGGGAACAAAATGGATTAAATATTTATGTATTTATATACATATTACAAATATATGGTTGTCTATAAGTGGTTTTTTTCTTGAGGAATCATTTATGTTCCCAGAAAATATTTAGAAAAGTACTCTGTTCCAGGCAGGTGAAGTTTCTGTTGAATTGATTTAGTGTTGTATTTAATCTAATGACTCTGCTGATGACAGGGGATCAGTATGGCAAGTGACATGACAGTAGGTATAAAGAATAAAAACAATCATTAATGGGACCACCTAGTGTAGAGAAGGAAAAGGTGCAAAAGAAAAGTACTTAAAATTTTGTTTTTTATTGGTGACAACTTTGGGGGTTTTGCAGTATTTTAGAGTGGTGATGAAGTTCTGCATGAGTTTGCACTTCCTGTGACGTCTCTCCTTATGGTGTACCTCAGTGCTGCTGAACATCAACATAAAGTTGTGCTTGGGGCAGGTGGCTTTCTTGGTCCAGGTGTGATGGAACCTTAGTAATGCAGCGCTGTAGAGAAATTAGAAGGCCTTTCCAAGCAGCAGGATTTGAAATAGTGTTTCTTCACAAGTTTGTCTTGTGTTTTTTTTTTTTAAATTGCTGTACTAGAAGAAAAACACCAGAGAAAAAGGTATCTGTATAAAGGCCGTGGGAGGAGGATGGCTTAGGTGGGTTGCTGTTACTTTCTATTCTTGAAGTAGTAGAAATTAGAATGTATTACTGAGCAGCACACTATTAAGCCTCTTCTTAAGTGTGGCACTATGAATGATGACAGTGCGAAAGGAGACAGGGTCATGATTTTGAGCGTATTTATTCCCTTTTCACAAAATGAGGAGAGTGTATAGGGTTCTTCTGGGAAGCCGATGGTTTCAGTAGTTACAGCACCATAAGCTGCCATAATGGTAGGTACTGTACAGTAGACGCTGTAGCCCCCGTGTATGATTGAATGACTAAACTGCCTAGAAATTCCACTTAATGATATTGGGAGGTGGCTCTCCTTGTCTGCCGCAGACCTTCTGTGTAGCCAGAAGTAGTGTAAACAGTCTAACTTAAATGTGCACTTCCTTGATTTTTTTTTTTTAAATATTTCTTAAAATTATTCTTGTGATTGATGTAGGGTAGTAAATTGTGAGGTGAAGGCACTAGACGGCATAAGCAGTTCCAGATAACTTTCATGTACTGCATTCATTCTCCACTCCCATGTAGCATAGCTAGAAGGAGTGAGTGTGATTTGAAATAAACTTTAAAACACCTTGAAAGGCTTTTTAAATGATCTTCCTCTGTGAAGCTGTGACTCTGAGGTTAGTAATTCTCCCTCATAAACGGTATTTTAACAGGTGAATGAGACTCGAGACAGTTTAACAATAAGTTTAGGACAAGATTATGTATCACTTATTACTGGCAAGCAACTGGATAAAAAGATCTCTCTCTGTGCAGGAGAATCTGTAGTTTAACTAGAGCTAAAATAATGTTTTCTTTGGAGGTATAAACCATTCTTAATAGTCTCTAAATAGGCATCTCTATAATGAAAAGCTTTTCAACACAGCTGGAAGCGTACCGAGATGCATAGCTGCTTTCTGAAAGGTGGAGTCAGTGGCTGAACTCCACCTAGCACCGGTTACCAAGCTGCTAGATCAGTTCCCTGTTTCGCTGGTAATAGGTTAGGCTGTTTTTTACGTACATACCATATTCTTTGTTCTGCTCAACTCCCGTATCTCATCTCTCTGGTTCTGGAATAATGCAATTTATATTACCTAGTCCTAAAAAAAACGCAGCAGCACAAACCAAACAGAGAAAAAAATGCCACCCAAACCCCATAATCACTCCAGGTTCCAGCTAATTGTCTTCCAGCTTGCACCTCAGCTTCCAGCACTTGTCTGCCTTGTCAGAGCCATAGCACTCAGGTGCTCTCTTTGTGCGTCAGTTCCTCCTCCCGCTGGTTACACTGAAGTTTCCCGAGGAAATGTCATGTACCTTCCTAGCCCAGTGTCTTGCTGTCTTACTTAGTCTGGCTGAGTTTCATGGAAGAGAAAAGGCTGATGGCATAGCCCTCTGGCATGGCCCTGCTTTCCAGCCAGCAGATGGGGAAAAGTGAAAACATCTTCTCCCTACAATCACAGGGCATGCCCCAGCACAGTAGCCACGCTTTGACTTTCTGTTTTCAGTGGCTCAAAATGATGTGAGACTCTCTGGCTGCTGAACAGGAAAAATACCTTGGAGGAATCATGTGTACTGGAATGTTTGAGATGATTTTTGGGTGGGGAAATTAATTTTCATCACTTTTCTGAACAGTGCTTGCATTTTTTGAATGCTTGGCTGCTATGTAGTCTAGAAAGATACCTATGATTTGATATCAGTGTTTCTTTTAAAAATTTGCCATCGCTAGACTTTCTTTGTATAAATTGTCTGGCTTGGTTTTTTCTTTTAATGTGATTGGCATTTATTTTCCTTTTAGGAAGCTTTTTTTATCATAATGTTACCATTTTATCTATAAACTCATCAAAGCAATAGGTGAACAGGTGGTGCCTTGCTTACTGTAGAAAGTGTTGACTACAGTAGAAGCCTGTGCCATTCTTTCTGACATCCTATGAATTGCCTCGGTCAACATTCTACAACTTTCTGTTAAAGAAATTGGGTAAAGCGAATTGCTCAAACCCTTCATTAGTGTAGACAGAAATGGGGGGTGGGGAGGGGAAGGGAAGCTAGGAGAACTGGAGGGGAAAAAAAAAAAAGTGGAGGAAATAGGCTGTGCCAGACAAGAGGTGCTGTAGATGGGTGTTCTTGCATAAACAATAGCAAGACTTTTTTTTTTTTTTTTTTTTTTCTTTTTTAGTAAGAGGAAAGCACACAGTAATGACCCACTGAAACTCCAAATACCGCTGAAGTCCTTGTTATTGAACAAGCTGATCTAAAGAGCACTAAGCCCTAGTGCTCATAATGAAACCATTAAATAAGCTACAGAAAAGCTTCTATGTTCTGTGGTTTTGTCTATTCCTGGGGGTGTTCCAATGCAGATGAAAACAAAATGACACATACGTGATGCAAACTCCATGGGAGGATCATCTCTTTCACTGGGAACGGCAGGGATTTTTTTCAAACTGGAGCGCTTCAGAAACATGCAAAGTCAGCAGTGTATGCAAGGGCCAACACTTAACCAGAACTCCAAGAGTAAGCCATTCCAGTACAGTCTGGCGCTGGACTTGAATGGTGAAGGGATAACTTTTTAGTATTTGCATGTGTAGGGGATCTTTCTTGACTCTGCTGAGCCTTTTGGCCTTTTTTGGTCTTTTTTTTTTTTTTTTTTTTTTCCAGTTGGCAAGACAAAACACAGAGTGCAGCATCTAGAGGATCTATCTAGCAGGAAGAAGGCAGGGATTCACGTGCAAAAATTATTTCATAGACAGCTATATTATTGTCCTGGAGTCTAATATAATAGATCTTTGGCAGTTTTAACTGTTGTCAACCTTAACTACAATAAGTTTTCTTCTGAACTTACAGATATGTAAAGCTGGCTGCAGAATTAGATCTGAATCCTATTTATAGGAGTCCAGTTTATCTGTTGGAATGCATGTTCATTCTGTGTATTTTTAGGGTATAAACCAGAGAGGCCTGAGGACACTCCGAAGACACTGGGAAGTTGCAGTCCTTTATTTGGAATACACGTTATGAACCCTTTCTGGAGCATGTCTACAAGTTCTGTGCGCAAGGTAGGTATTTAATGACTGGATGCCATAAAGTGATAACATGCATTGAAGGGGGCAGTAGCAGTTCTGGGAAAGACCATCAGATGATCTATAAATACAGTTGGAGTGTGTGTGTTATCCCGAGGATTGTGATCAGTTTCAGTAAAAATGTAAGCTAGCTTTGAGCTGCGTTAACTGGAATGTGACTGTGGATGGAGTCTCCTCCAGAATTTGTTGACTTTTCTTATCTGAAGCATCTTTTAAGTAGGAAGGGTGAAACAGACTTGTTCAAAGGGTTGGAACACTTGTTTCTTAGGACATTTGTTTACTGTCTCATATAGACCTTAGGCCAGGTATTGCATGTGCTGTGAGCACATGCAATACCTGGCACAGAACTGTGCCTCCATAACACTATTGCTACTTTAGATTGTGTGTACAAGAGCATGATAGTTCTCGGGTTAATCACTTCTCAGGTGTTCTGTGCTAGGGCAAATTACGTGACTTTGTTGATGATGCTTGTGACATAAGTATTGTTACTATTCCAAGTCTCAAGTGCTTCAAAACACTATAGCCTAAATCATGCCTATAGTCACCACAGCTAGCCTAATCGCAAGTCTGTAGCCTGCAGGGTTGTCTTGGCAAGCTATAGAATGTTTTGAGGTCTGCACACAGTACAGTCTTCTCTAGCAGTGTAGCAGTGACCAATTAAGTAGAAAAGTTTTTTGCTTGGGTTTTTTTTTTTCTTTTTTAATAAAAGCATAGGCATAAAAAGGTTGCTATAGTAAAACTATTTAAAATGAGCTTGATATCGCTGTCAAACGGTGATTCTCCCACAGTGGGAATGGGCTATATGATCAGCTCCAAGTGTTGGTGTTTTAAGCACAGGCAGGAAGTGAAGTGTATGAAGTTTTCTGTAGAAAGTTCTTATTTCATCTCAGCTTTACTACACTACTTTTAAAGACTATTTCAAGTCTAGAACATGAGGATGCTTGTCAGTGGAAATGATTTATCTCGATGCACTGTGTGCTAGAAATAGGTTGACTTCTAAGCTCATGTTATATACTATCTGGTTCCAGTTTCTAAATAAAAGTAAGCCTCCTTAAGCTTTGTCCTAATCTGCAGATTTCCTATCCAGCATTGGTTACTTCTCTACCTGTAGGCTAGGTTTGATTGAATAAAGGTCTATTTAAAAACAAACTGCAGAGAGACACCGCCCCCAAGCAATAGAACAGCAAAACCCAAGGTTTTTTCATTTGCCAAACTTCTAATTAGCAAGGTTGGGTTTAAATGTTATGTTAAATGTTTATGAAATGTGGCCTGTAATCTCATGGTTCTCTTTTAATCTAACAGAGACCTGAAGCTGAAGAGAAAACTTTGAGTGGAGAGCTGCGAACCAGTCCTCTACGAGCCTCTACAAAGAAACAGTTGCCTTCTATTCCAAAGAATGCTGTGCCAATAACCAAGCCTGCTTCACCTGCCACGTCATCCCAGTCGACAAATGGAACACATGCTTCTTATGGGCCTTTTTATTTGGAGTATTCCCTCCTTGCAGAATTGTAGGTTTTCACTTTTTTTTGGTCTTTTTTAAGCCACTGGGCTTATGCTTCAGTGGGGAAAAAAAACATGCAGGGATCTAGTTCTTGCATGGTGTCTTTGCCTTAGTCCTTGAAGAAGGCAGTAAAACTTAAGTTCCACAGAATTCTTTTTCTGGAGCAGCAGCCTCAATTTCTTGAGGTGGCAGGGGGAGAGGAAAATGAGATGAGATTTTAAGGGATGTGTTTAGATGTGATTCTCTGAATTATATTTCTCAGTCTTCAAGTAAACGCGTTTTGGGTTTAGGCATCCTACCTAGTTATCCTAATAGCTTTTTGGTCAGAAATACAAAATTTTTGAAACAAGCATTAAAATAGAAGCAAGCAGATGTCTAGTGGGAAGATGGTTATGAATGTATGGTACTGTCTAATGGAGTTAGGATGTGGGAGCTTCCTTTAGTTCTTACATGGAACACTTGAACGCTGCCTGATACGGCTTATTAAATGGGTATTAGGAAGACTGTATTCTTTCCTGTCTTTCAGTGATGTTTAACATGAAACTTATGAGGGAGGAGTTACTGTGATTTAAATAGCTTTCTTTGGATCAGTTGCATTTGATCCGATCTAGTGATATGTAGGCTGCTGTGGGAGCATACGAGTCTCTTATTTGTCTGCAAAACTTTCTGGTTATAAAAAGTTACATAAACTGTTTTGTGCTACAAAGCTGAAGGGACTTCCTCTGTAATAGACGTACTGGATTCTCAAGTATGTAGTGCCTTTTGGAATGAAATCCCTGGAGTCCTTACGCAACACTGTCTCAGTTGTTACATTTAACCATTAAATTGAAAGTGTGAACTCTCAAAACATTAATCTTTTTTTTCAGGGAACTTGACCCTGACTTCTTGAATTAAGAAAGATATTTTTCTTCTGCAGCATGCAAAAATATATTGGTATCATAACGTAAAGTCCTCTAGTTTAACAAATTCATTATTAGGGGAATAATAATAAATATTATGGAAAATGTAAGCAGAGAACTGTGTTAATAGTTTGCTTTAAGATTATTGTTTATTTGTGCAAGCATGTGGAGTTCAATTTAATGGGCCTGTATGCCAAGTACTGGAAAACCTATCAGGTGAATAATTTGTTTTATCAGTTATAGTGTTAAGTAGAATCTGCGTGCCATACAACTACAGCTGGTTAAACTTAGTAGCAACTTCGCATGTTCATTGATTTGAAAAATAGTGAAAATAGCACATTTTGCCCCATAGTACTGTTGATTATCAAATGAACTTGCCTAAAAGGCAAAGGGAGAGGGAGAAACTTTTCATAATGCACTGGTCATTGATGACCAAAGATTGTGACTAGATTATCATCACAAGAAGTGAAATAGCAAATAAGTACTAATTTGGGAAAGACTTGGTCCATCTTGTTAATGAGATGCCTGGAATCACTCAATCCAGATCTATAATATACCCTGCTTCTTGACTCTCCTTTCTATCCTCTGTTACTTTGTTTTGTCAGTTGCCAGTGTAATTTCTGTTTGACCTGCAGCATAGTCTCATCTAAAACTGGAAAACTACTTGTTTAAAATTGAAGTTAAAGCTTTGGTCACATTTCAGAATTAACTACAACTGACTGCAAATCTGCATACAAAATAATTGCAATTCTTTTTTTACTTTGAAACTGGGGATTCAATAGATAAGTGGAAATCTCAGTACTGACACGCATTGAATGCATCTAGCGGGGGAAGAATTTATTTCTGCACTTACAGTTCTATCAGGAGAAATAATGTTTCCTGTTAGTCACTCTTTAAGTGGAGGGGTAGGAAAAGGAAGAGCAAAAGGATATGGTTTCGCTAGTTTTCTGCCACCTCCTCCTGTGAGCAGTCTGCCGTTGGGAATCGATGGTAAGTTTGGGAAGAAGTCCCCTGCTAAGCTCTTGGTCGTATGTTCTGGGTTTACTGTTGTCGGCTTGCTGTAGATTTGTTGTAGTTGTGAAGCTGTTCTAAATACTGATTCTAATTGCAGTACCTTGGTTGTAAAGCAGAAATTGCCAGGTGTCTACGTGCAGCCATCTTACCGATCAGCATTAAGTAAGTTTAAATTTAACTTTTAAAATTTTTTTATATATATATTTTTATAAGTTCTTTCACTCAAGCAAACTTTCTCACTTGCAGTGTGGTTTGGTGTAATATTCATAAGACATGGGCTCTACCAGGATGGTGTGTTTAAATTTACTGTCTATATTCCTGATAATTACCCAGATGGAGACTGCCCGGTAAGTGGTTGTGTGTGTCGTGGGTTTTTCTTGTTTTCTGATGTTTTAAGTATGACTTCTTGTTAAAGCTAATATGCCAATTAGCTTCTCATTTCCCTGAACTAGTTTTGTTCAGTTGGCTGGGCTCATTAGCGATGTCTTGTACAGGTTTCCTAACATCTGTGGAGGAATCATGTTACTCTGGTTACTGAGGCTGGTATGGAGTGAACTTCTGAGGTTAGATTCATTAGAGTATTAAATAATCACCTAGTTCTTTAGCTCAACTCCTGATCTGTTGCTTCCTTGGCAAAGAAGTTAACGCTGAAGTGCTTAAAGAAGTATCCAGATTCTGAGTAGCAATATAATGGAACATAAAATCCAGGCACCTGTGCTCTGCTTGCCGTAGTACTACAAGATTTCTTGCCTGTCTCTCTTCTGAACTGCATTGAAACAAAGAACTAAAATAACTTGAGGAGAAAGTTGATGAAACAAAGGGAGAGGGTGATGGATAGTATGGTGTTACCTTCCATCCCTGCTTTCTCTTTTTCTCTTTAGGGAAAAGTATCCAAGTTATTACATCCATTTAAAAAAAATCAAAATCTTGTGGCAATCTGACTCTCCAGAGCAGAGCAGCCGGCCCTCTTGCCCAAATTTCTTTCAGAGGAAGACTGGGGGACAGGTGTACATAACTGCTATACCTGTGAACGAGTTGCTATGTCAGGAAGCAGTCTGCTTGGTGTCAAGTTTTGTGTAAAGCTATCATCTTTAAAAGGACAGAACTAGTAGGAAACAGTTTCTTTCAAAGATTAGACTTCAGTATCTCTCATACAGCCATCATTCTTTTACTAGCGTGTGGCTTAAGACCTTCCTGTTGAAACTAAGTTTTCTTTTGGACGAGTGCATGAACACCAGAGGAAACTACCTGTACCGAACTGAAGACACCATGGCATCACTGCACAGTTTACTTAAAAAAGTATTGATTGTAGCTCAAGTATGTAAAAAGCTTTCAGTCAGAAATAGCTAAACCAGAAAAACTCCTTCAATCTGATCTCATCTGATATTATTATCTGTGTTGGCACTAGTGCTTGTGCAGTTAGCTGGATTAGTTTCCTGATTTGGTGATAAGCATGTGAGAGGGGACAAGACCCTGCATGTAACATGGTTGTGTTGGGTTACAGTTTCAGAGCTGGTATAAATCACTTTGGGTTGCTTTCTTTTAATACAGTAACAGTTAGAATTTGGAAGCAACATCTGACTGACCTTCATCCAGTGGTTTTAACGTTAGGATTGAAGTTGTCATAATGAATTTCTTTTTTCTAATGCAGCGCTTGGTTTTTGATCTGCCTGTCTTCCATCCGCTAGTAGAGCCTTTATCTGGTGAACTGGATGTGAAAAGAGCCTTTGCAAAGTGGAGGTTAGTGGTAACATATTGATGTATAACTTGAAAGAAGTTTGTTCCTTTCTTCATTGTGCTTTGTTCTTTTTAGGCGAAATCATAATCACATATGGCAAGTATTAATGTATGCTCGCAGAGTTTTCTACAAGATTGATACAACTAGTCCTCTGAACCCTGAGGCTGCAGTGCTGTAAGTATCTTCCGTGCGTATAGACGTGGTCTCTTAAGAGATTTTTGCATAGACTTGCAGAAACAAGAGATTGGTAAAATTGTTTATCAGTTCGTGGTTTCTACCTCTAGGCTTGGTTGCACTAGGAACTAAAGTTGAGGTTTTGCCAAGTCTGCGCTTCTAGAGCAAACCTGTGCTGCCTCCCTGCAAGTGCTTAACATTACTTACTTCTCTCTTGCAGGTATGAAAAAGATATTCAGCTGTTCAAAAGTAAAGTGGTGGACAGCGTCAAACTATGCAGCAGTCATTTATTTGACCAGCCTAAAATAGAGGATCCCTATGCAATCATGTAAGTACCATGAACAAATTCACCCTCTCCTAATGTTTCGCAAACAAGTTTCAGTATAGCTGTTGATTTGAAGCCTTTGTCTGCCAGGTTGACTGACCTGGTTTTCCTTACATTTATAGCAAGACTTTGAATATTCCTACCCTCATTTCCTTCTGTTTAATATTGGGTGAACCTTAAATACAATCAGACACTTGTGTTTACTGTTTTTTCACTAAGCAACCAAGACTTAAAAAAACCCTCAACAAAGCCCCAAAGCAAACGAAAAAAAGGCTCCAAACCACCCCACCTCCCTCGTGTAGAGATACCCATGGAGTAAATATTGCTTTGGGGCTTTCCTGAACTCAGTTTGCATGACTGTAGCTTTGTTTGTACTTATAAAATACTGTTAAGCTTGACTGCATGGGGGATGGAACAGTCAGCTCCATAGTGTGCTGAATTTTCACAGCAAACAAAAATGAAAACCTAAATACTGCATGTTGAAAAGATCCATGATGATGTGCATTTCAGTTCTTAACCGCGTGTTTTAACACTGAAAACTCAGACTTGTAGTTTACTTGAAACTCAACAAACTGAACCAAGGGAAATTGCTACTTTCTGCTCTGTCTCTGCTGTAGTTTGCAAAAATTCAGAGAGATGACTATACTTTCTCTGTAGTTTTTCCCCATGGAATCCAGCTATACATGATGAAGCTAGAGAGAAGATGTTGACTCAGAAGGTACGTGCAAAGTCCAGATTCTCACTATAGTAAGGGTTTATTGCCTGATAAGGGAAGAGAGGTTCTCTGTCTCTTTGTGATGAACATGTATTAGACAGACCTTATTCCACCCCTCTTGTGGATCAGCAGGCATGCTGAAACTGATTTGATCTGCTAACTAAGCAGTGATGTCACTGTTCTAACTTCAGTGTGTTAAGCAATTAATCATTTAGCCAGCTAGAAAGCTTTGTTAGTACAATTGTTGGCACGCTTGGCAGACTTCATGTTTAGGGAGGAAAGAAGGGGAAAGAAGAGATTTGCGGACTGCCTGTTAAGCTTGTCCTGCCCTTGTCATGACTGTTACCACTTCTGTGTAACCTGACAGTCCCCAACTTCTTTGTTCTCTTCTGTTGAGAGATCTTTCATTACTGAATCAAAGCTTCAGGGCTTTCTTCTCATTCCAAACTTTTGGAAGCAGCACAAGCAGAGTGAGTACCTTGCTCACGTCTCTAATGTTACTGATTTCTAATAAGAGAGTTAATTGAAGGGTGCTTAGAGTTACTTCTATCACAAAGCACTCTTACTGGTACAGCAGGAA